ACGGTTGTCCGGTAGCGTTTCATTTTTCATTTTTTTTCTACATATCGGAATGATCTGAAATTTGGAACCTGTGTTCATCAAAAATAATAAAATCTAATAAAAATATAAAAAAATAAAAATATAAATTGATCAAAATACCCCTGAAAATTTGCAGGGGTATTTTGGTCAAATTATATTTACGAAATTGTTTTTTTCATATTTTTGTTAGGTGCGCCTTACTAAGATGTACATACCCTCCAAATTTCAGATCATTCCATTTATAGAAAAAAAAAGAAAAATGAAACACTACTGGACAATCATGATCGTACGATGAACTACAGATGGTGATGAGCATAGGTGAAATCACTGTTCATTTTCGCTTATAGGCATTGGGAAGAATTTTCCATATATATATAGTAAGTAAAGGAATGAGATGGCTGACTGTATCGGCAAAAGAAGTTTTAAGAGAATCTAGAAAAAGAAATTTGGTGGTGGAAATTCCGAGAAAGAAACTTGGTGGTGGAGTGATGAGGTCCATAAGACCATTAGTGAAAAATGATCATGTTAGTGTAATAGAAACGATCAAAGGTTAGAAGACTACAAAATTGTTAAGAAAAACTCTAAACAAATAGTAAGTAAAGCGAAAATTAAAACATATGATAATCTATACAATAAATTGGGAATAAGAGAAGGTGAAAAAGATATCTTCAAATTAGCAAAAATAAGAGAGAAAAAGTGTAGGGATCTAAACCATATTAAATACATTAAGAATGAAGATCAAAGGGTCTAACGAGGTCAACGAAAGGTGGAGAGTTTAGTTTAAAAAAATTATTAAATGACGAACACAATGGAAACATAGTAATAGAAGCAATTGTTGGTATAAATGAGGGCAGAGGTCATAAATACAATCGTAGGATAAGGATGTCAGAAGTGAAAGAAACTTTGTAAAGAATGAAGATAGGAAAGGCTCTAGGACCAGATGTTATCCCCATAGAGGTTTGAAAGTGTGACTAATTGACGAAGTTGTTTAACAAGGTGCTGAGAACAAAAAACATGCCAGACGAATGGAGGAAAAGTATTGCGGTATCTATTTACAAGAACAAATGAGACATACAAAATTGTGTGAACTATCAAGGGATCAAACTTATGAGCCATACTATGAAGCTCTGGGAGAGAGTGATTGAGCAATGACTAAGGCATGAAACGAGTGCATATGAAAACCAATTTGGTTTTATGCCAGGAAGGTCAACAACCAAGGTATTTTCCTACTTAAGAAACTGATTAAGAAGTTTATGGCGAAGGGAAAAGACCTCCACAAGGTCTTCATTGACCTAGAGAAAGCTTATGATAAAGTACCTCAAGATTTGATTTGGAGGGTGCTGAAAAAGAAAATAGCATTTAGACACTACATCGACTTGATGAGAGATGTACGATGGTGCACTAACTAGTGTGCAAACAACTAGGGGAGAGACGAGTGAGTTTTCAATGACAATAGGTCTACACAAGGGTCAGCATTGAGCCCGTACCTCTTTATCTTAGTTATGAACGACTTAACTAGGTATCGTGGTGCATGTTGTTCGCAGGTGACATAGTTTTGATCAATGAGACCCAAAAAGGCGTCAACACAAAGTTAGAACTTTAGCGGGATGTTTTAGACTCCAAAGGTTTTAAAATTAGCCGAACTAAGACAGAGTATATGGAATGTAAGTTGAATAATAATAAGAGTAGAGACGAGGAAGTAGTTAAGATTGATGACCAGGACATACAAAAATGACCGCACTTTCGATACTTTGGGTCAATAATCCAAGAAAATGGAGAGATTGAGGAAGATGTCACACACAAAATTAGAGCTGAGCGAGCGAAGTGGAGATATGCAACTGGAATTTTATGTGATCGCCATATACCAATGAAGCTGAAGGGTAAGTTCTATAGGATAGTTGTGAGACCAGCTTTGTTTTATGGGACAGAATGTTGGACGAACAAAAAACAATACACCCATAAAAAAAGTGTAGCAGAGATGAGGAAGTTGAGATTGATGAGTGGCAAAACAAGAAGGGATAGAATTCGAAATGAATCCATTGGGGAAAGTTCAGGTGTGGCACCAATAGGATATAAGATGAGAGAGAGAAAACTTATGTGGGCTAGCCATGTGTGGCATTGAACCAATACAGCACCTGTTAGGAGGTACGAGTTAGTTCAAGTGGAAGGACTGAAAAGGGCAAGGGGTCGACCCAAAAGAACGTGGATGAAAGTAGTCCAAATAGATATGGGGATCTATGGCCTCAGAAATGGCCTTAAATAAAGCAGAATGGCGGATCAAGATTCGTGTAGCCGACCTCAATTAATTGGGAAAAGACTATGATGATGATATATATATGTTGGCTGTTAATAACATATTTGAGTGGTTTTTCCGTACTTTTTATTTTATTTTTCCGACCTGCCTGACCAATGATAAGGCCTGTTTAACAAACTGGAATGGTGCCCTTATGGTTTTACCATAACAAAAATGGACTGACCATATGGCTTTTATTTTTTTTATGAAGTGACTGATCATATGGCTTACATGTTGAGATATATACCACATAATGATCTGATAGCAACATTGTAAAATATCACTAGGACAAGTGATGCAGACAGATATTGAGTACGATGCCTCAAAACACACAAGTGAGCAACAAAAGATAATAGTAGGTATTTTGTTCTGGAACTCTATCCGTCAACTTAAGTCTGCAATTAGATATTAGAATCACATAAATGTGTAAGATAATGTCATTAGTCTTGATTCTCCATTGCACAACACGCAAAAGGACACTTCAATCACTCTTATACTTTGATATACAATACCATACTTCCTATTTTTATTGTCCATAATTTGAAAGGTGAATAATTCCTTTCTAAAAGCTACACTTCCAACAACAGAACATCTCACACTTCAATACATGCCAACAAACACCGAACTACAGATAGCACTCAAAAGACATTCCTTTACAAGAATCATTTCAGTTGTCTACTACTTTTTTGGGTAAAAAAATAATAGTATTTATAAATAACTGAAATCAATAAAAAGTAAGTACTCTCTTTTTCTTTCCTTGTTTGGGGGGGGTAGGTCAAATTTCAATTGTTTATATTCCAAAACCAAGAATTATTTGTAAGGGGATTAATATTGTGAATAGAGCTCATAACTCTAGTTTGCACCAGCAACATCATAGTCGTTGGGTAGGAGAACGGGAATGGTTCTGGGATCAGGGGCAGGATCGATGGAGCGAAGCTATATTGAAGATCCCTGTGTTAGTGATCAATTATTATATAAAGGTGCAGGATCCTGTATGTAAGTAACGAATTTTCCAAGGACATGTTTTGGAGTTTCTTAATTCAGGGAGCGCATTATTAAAAGCGATCCAAAATATTACGGAGCGAGGAATAACTTTTATAGGAGCGAGCTCTATTTTCTTAGATTACGAGTTCCTCGTGTGGGTAATAAACTTTAAAATGTAGCTTCCAACGTTGTTAACCAATAACATGTAGGCGTAGTCCTTCTATGAAATAAATATGGAACTTTAAAGTGATCCCATATTGGTGGGATCTGGATGCCATATATGCCGATGCTTGTATTCCCTTATTTTGGAATCTACATTCCAATGCACTCTAGAGCGCAAACCATAAGACTAGGGATCTATATCCTGTAATGTTTAGGAACGCGAAATTATACTGTAAGAAACTCATTCTCTTATGAGATGGAGCGAGATCCCGAAAACACTAAATTGAGTTTCAAATGAGATCCACTCCAGAATCGAGAGAATTGAGGTTCTGCAAGGGATCGCCAAGCAAGGGCGGAGATCCCGGTAACTATGAGCAACATACAAAAAACCAAAAGATAGCAGATTCTTATGACCATAATGAACAAAATCACAACAGAGTTCAGCAAATGTGGCTTCTGCGATGAAAACTTAGTGTCTTCTCACCAATGTAGACTATATTCAAAGCGAGTTCAGACAAATGTGGCTTCTGCAATGAAAATCTAGTGTCTTCTCACCAATGTAGACTATATTCGAAGCTCAAACGTACTTTTTTTTTTTTGGCCATTTAGCGAGCTCAAATGCCCAAGGTCAAGCTTGTCACACACATGCACCTTCCTGTTGAAAAAGGGCTCATCAAACACTCAAAGCCAGCCTTTCAAATGCTTGAGATACAGACTTTTTAAGGATGATATTTTTAATGCGGGAAGTTTTTTTATCAGACACAAGCAAAGCACCTTACTGATAAAGGCAGTGTCATTAGGAAGAAAAATATAACATGAGGGGGATGCACTGGTTATAATGCCAATGCAGATGCGAGAGATTTACAAGCATAATTTGCAAATTAATTAAGGTTCAGAAGTCAATGAACGTCTTACTTCCTTATGGACCTATCATTAGTGCTATAAATATACAGTTTCCACAATAAATTTTTGACAAAGAATCCACTTCTAACAAAGAGAGTTTGCTCATGAAGCTAGTTATAGAAATCTTAAGCTTGTCAACAAAGGACACATCTATGGTTCATTTCTCATGCGTCAGTCTCAGAGGATCAGTGCAGAAGTTTCATAAGAGAAATGTAGATAATAATACAAATTGGACCACTTACTTGCATTAGCGAGCAGCTCAGTGGAGAAACCTGTCGGAGAGTTTTCAGTTGTTGTCTTTGGGATTAGATTCTGCTCTGATATCTCTCTTTTACAGCATCTTTTGCAGAGAATCAGGGCCACAAAAACAAGCACAAGAAGAAATAGAGCAATCCCTCCAATGATGCCAATTAATATACCTAAGCTTATAACCACAGTTTGTTCAGTTGATTTGCCAAAGCCTTGACAATAAGAAGCCTGGTGCTGGTGCTGAGAATTTACATATAAACAGTTCCCAGCAAACTTGACCACCCTTTTCTCTGCCTCTGAGCCCAAGCAAGAGGGCAAAGCTCCACTCAATCGATTTGAAGATACATCAACAAATCCAAGTGAGCTACTGCATCTCAGAGAACCAGGGAGAGCTCCACTGAGAGAATTTGAAGCGAGATTCACGTAAGTGATATTGGGCAATGAGAAAATCATAGGTGGTGGAACCCCATCAACGAAATTGAATGAGAGGTCAAGATGTTGGAGATTGTCTAACTCACCATATTCTGGAGGGACCTCACTCGAAAACAGATTCTTACTCAAAAGAACAGTGATTACCCCAGCAGGAAGCTCTGGTAAGTGAGGCCCCAATCTGTTACCCCTCAAATCAAGAGATTGAAGCCCTGTTAAACCTTTTAATTCGGGCAAATTGCCTGAAAGACTGTTCTCTGACAATGCAAGGACTTGAAGAGTCTTGATTTTGGCCATGGAAGGAGGCACTGGTCCCTTAAACCTATTCTTGTTCAAACTCAATACCGATAAGTTCTGAAATGAATCGAACCAATTGGGCAGGGTATCATTAAAGAAATTGTTGTCAAGTTTCAAAGTTTGGATTCTTTCCATGTTGGAAATCTTCTGAGGAACACTACCAAACAAGAAATTCGACCCAAAATCAAGAATTTCGATCGAACTAAGCCTATGAATCTTGTCAGAGAGAGGACCCCAAATCCCCAAAGAAACCATGCTCACCACCCTCAAGCTGTTAAGCCTACACAGAGTAATGATGAAAGAATCCATTGAGAACTGGTCTGATAGGGTCTGGCCAGAGATTGGGAAGCCATCAAACTCCACATACTTTACTGGTTTTTCGCCAACAATTCTGAGTTCGATGACTGAGTCATCTTTGCAGACAATGCTTACCTTTGACGAGGAAGGCGAGTAGCAGAGATCAGTAGTGATGTTCCAGGCATTCAATGCTTGTGGGTATTCAAGATGCCTCCTCAGCTGCTGAAGGATTTGGGTTTGAGAGGACGGTAGTGGCTGCGAAATGGGAAAGAAGAAAACCCATGAAAACAGAAGCAAGACCACTGCAAGGAAAGGTGCCATGCGTGAGTTTTTGCAGGAACAGAGTTGATTTAGAGAGAGAGAGAGAAGAGAAAGAGAAGAGAGAGAGAGAGAGAGAGAGTTGTAAGGCTTCTGTAATGAGGTTTAGAAGGGAAAGAGAGAAGCATGCAGACTACTCTGTTAGTGGGTTTTTGGATTCAGTGGTATTCTGAAGCAGAGAGAGAGAGAGAGAGTTCCCAAATGCTTCTGGTTTCAATTGAAACTAAGAGATCCTCTGCAATGAGTTTAGAGAGAGTTAGCAGCCAAGCTAAGTAGCCTTTCTTAGTGGAAAATGTAAGTTTTTCTCAGTAAGTATAGAGGGAATGCCGCCCACCTAAGCATCCCATTTTCAGAAGAAAATGAGACTTTGCCTGAAATGAATTTGGTGCTTGAGCTGAGTTCTAGAGAGAGAGATCACAACAGTTGGCACATGGAGTGTATTGATTTGGATGTAGATTGGTTGATTGCTGGCATTAATGGAGGTAGTTGCCCGCACCACAGAAATGTAGAGAGAGAAAGAGACATACGGCACCACACAAATGTAGAGAGAGAAACAGAGAGAGGGTCCAGCGATAGTAGACTGGTAATCAAGTCAGGAACCGGTCTTTGTCTGAAGTGGGCTCTACGATGCGTCTTTTCTGATACCCACAGTATTTATGTAATTATTTTAGGGTGCGGTTTGTATAGAGCATGGGCTCTAAACAATGAAATTAGAGCCTACCTTCAAATAGCGTGGAGAAATGTAATTTCAATCTTAAAAATCTTTGTGATAATATATGTCACACCCCAAAAATTTACAATACTGTTATTCTTGAGATGTGACAGACAAAACATATATACATCTATTGATAAGACAAATTTACAGTGGCGAGGTCTTATAAAGTAAATAAAGAAAGTTAGCACAACAACAGTATCTTCCAAGGTTGATCTTGACTAGCACTCAAAAATGAATCCGCAGTTATCCTGAAAAATGTTTACCATAGTTTGATGAGTTTGGCTACTCAGTAAG